TTAGTATAGGTTGAGTTATATTTGCATTTGACAATAAGATAAGTTAGTATAGGTTGAGTTGTATTTGCATTTAACAATAGTATAAGTTAATATAGGTCAGTATAGGTTAGTATAGGTTGAGTTGTATTTGCATTTAATAAACTATAGTTTGAGTTGTATTTGCATTTAATAAAGTATAGGATAGTATAGGTTGAGTTGCATTTATATTTAGTAGGCCATAGGTTAATATAGGGCATTTAATTATGTAATGTTTGTCTTTCTTTCTTTGTATTTGTTTATTCTCAAGGTAATAAATGAGACATAAAATTTATGTTGCATCTATGATAAAGGTTCATTAAAATAATTTGGCATTAAAATGTAAGGTTAAATGTAAGGTTAAATGTATAGTAGTGGCCTGAGGTTAAATATGGAAATTTAGGGTCGTTACCTATGAAAAATCACTAATCTTTCCCGTTCTTTATTGAGGTGAATTTTTTTATCAACATCAATTTCCAATACTTGATCAGTGGAAACTACTTGGAGGCTCTCGTCGCATCCTAAGCTCAACAGACAAACCTGAGTTTCTCATTGGCTCTAGCACGTTTGGTTCTAATTTAAGCCTCTTGGGGCTTCTATGGTTCTCCGTCCTTTCATTTAATACCTAAGAGTTTCTTATGCCAAGCTGTAATAATTGGTGTCTCTCTATGAGGCGCTACCTCTACATGGCTAACTGAGACTAAATGGTATCTTGCCTAGGGGTGTGCTGAGTACCTCCTAAGTCCATAATAGTCTCCTTATGGGGGCGTGACCCAACCCATTCTCATGGAGCCGATGGGTTGTACGACGTAGGGATACATTTCCCATGCAAAATGGCTAAAAGCAGTAAGAACTTCTCAGGAACCCCTGGTCCTCCCACGAAGCTATGGATACCGTGTATACAACTAGCAGCCTAAGAACGCTCCTAAGATACTACGTTTGCTTTAGTGATCTGTTAGGCTCCTAGGGAAGGGATTGATCTAAGCTCAATGACTTGTCGCTCTGTCTCATGGATCCCTAGGCTTATCATTATACGCTTCCTAGACGTTAAGGTGGTGCAAACATCAAGAACTAGATATATTATAAATGGTTTATGCAAAATAGGCAATCATGCTCAGTGGAGCGATAACATCCATCAGCACCTGGAACGCAGAGTTCACAATTTTTCCATCCTCCTTTCAGCATGCATAAGTAGATACATACTAAGCAGAAGCATAAAACATGATTAACTTTTCATAGTACATACACTTTACCATCTAAGCTCATAACATGGAAAAATCTAGTCAATTAAGGGAATTAATCTAGTATGCATGTATACCGAAGTGTTTCCAACAAGTATTTTTTCCAAAGTTTCTTGTGGTGACTTATATGGTTGACGAGTGCCCTTTCTCTAGCTTCTAAGCAATTAGGGTGTCAAAAATTACTAATTTCCCTAAATTAGGTCCCTATTCATGTAAAAACATTTTTAGAATTGAAATCAGAATGAAAATTAGGCAAACAGAGTTGAACGGGTTAAAAAGAACCTTACACACGTCGGACATGCGCGGGTTGCTTCCGTGTAGTCGTGGGTTAGCCTTTCGGTTTGGGTCAATGGTCTGGCTCACTCGGGTGGACCATGAGTTAGTTTGGCTGACAGGTTGCAGGTTGAGTCCAATCTACTCGCGGATCTGGAATCGGGTAGGGCACACAGGCAACGCGTGTCGCCGTTTCGCTGGGGCCGCGTTGCTCCTGCTGTCGTTCAACACGTAGCTCCAGCTGATGCTTAACACATGTCGCTGCCTCACCAAGCCGCACTTCACCGGTTGCCAGTTGATACATGGCTGCTGAAAAGAGTTATCCTCCCCTCCTATCAGACGAAAACGATGGAATGATGAGTTTTCTTTAATCTTTACATTTTTGTATCTTTCGATCTACAACTTGAATCAATACAATTCATTTTTCATAGTTGTAGATCTTAATACCATCTACGCCCTAGTATTTTTTCTTGATTTTTTTTCTCATCAAGAAATGAGTTACGAACATTGAAAGTAGGTCCGTTAACATTCTTACAGTTCTTGGGAGAGCTCTCAGACCTTTACGTTTCCTGCCAAGTTTCTTCACGGAATCAGTGGAAGACCTTCCCTAGATGAACATATCCAAGTATTAGGTCTCGATTCATAAATGTTAGTCTCGAATCTGAAAAAATATTCGAGAACTCACCTCGATTTTGGACGAAGTTTTGAGACGGCTGCTTCTTGACTCTCCAAACCCCTCCTCTACCTTTCCTTTTCTTTACTGGTCCCTATTAGGATTCTACTTAGACCCCTGTAATAGATGGAGAGACAAAATGATATATTTTCTCCTTTCTTAACTTGGGCCGATTTTCTTTTTATTATTACTTTTTTTATTTCAGCGATACAAACTCTCCCCACCTTAGGGACTTTCGTCCCCGAAAGTTGGCATCTCTTGGAAGAGTTTGGGATAGTCTCTCTTCATCTTCTCTTCTCATTTCTAGGTTGCCTCTTCTTCATGGTTGTTATCCCATGAGACCTTCACCATGGGAATGACTTTGTTGCGCAATTGCCTAGTGTCTCGAGCCAAAATTCTGCTAGGTTTCTCCTTGTAAGATAAATCTTCTCGAAGAGGAAGCATTTCATGTTTGATCACATGAGTAGGGTCTGGAGTGTACCTTAGCAGCATGGACACGTGAAAAACATTGTGTACGGCGGCAAGGTTCGATGTTAGGGCAATTCTGTAGGCCACAACTCCAACTCGCTCTAGAATCTCGAAGAGGCTTATGAACCTTGGGCTCAATTTTCCCTTTTTTTGAACCTCAACACTCTCCTCATAGCAACTACCTTTGGGAATACATGGTCATCCACCTCGAATTTGAGATCCCTTCTACGCAAATCTGCATAGCTCTTCTGTCAGTTCGGTGCGGTGAGTATTCTCTGCTTGATTTTCTCCACTGATGCGTTAGTGACCTGAACTAACTCTGGTCCCAGTAGTTGCTGCGCGCCTACCTCTTCCCAGAACACCAGTCTTTGACACCTACTCCCATACAGTGCCTCGAAAGGGGCCAACTGGATGGTCGCTTGGTAACTGTTATTGTAAGCAAACTCGATCAAAAGCAAATGTTTGTCCCAGAACCTAGAGAAATCTATTAATTAGGCTTGCAACATATCTTCTAGGATCTGATTTAGTACTAAACCTTAACCGAGTTCTTAGTGCTTTTTGGAGACTTTTCCAAAACTGAGAGGTGAACTTGTTGTCCCAGTCTAATACTATGGACACTGGTACTCCGTGCAGGCGTACTATCTCCCTGATATATAATTAAGCCCACTGATCCACTTGATATGTGGGCTTGCCTAGAATGAAGTGACCTGCCTTGGTTAGACGATCTACTATCACCTAGATTACGTTATAACTCTGCTTAGTCTTGAGCAAACCTGAAATGACGTCCATACAAACTGCTTCCCATTTCCATTGAGGATCATTCAGGGCTGTAGCAATCCTGTTGGACGCTAACTCGGGGTCTTCACCTCTGGCAGGTCAAACATTAGCTTACGAAATCCGCTATGTCCTTCTTCATCCCTGGCCACCAATAACAACCTTTTAGATCTTGATACATCTTCATACTTCTAGGGTGGAACGTATAAGATGTATCATGAGCTTTAGTCATAATATCTTTCAGGATTTTCTCATCTTGGGAATGCACAGGCGGTCTCGCCACAACAAGTCCTCGTCTAAGGAGATAGAATACCTAATTGGTCTCTCTGTCTCAGTCTGATTCCACACTTTATTGAGGTTTTCATAAGACCTCCGAGCATTGATAACTCATTTTTCTAGGGTGGGTTGTATGGTCATCTATGCTATCTTTGCGATACCACCTTTAACCACAACATCTATCCCAACCCTCTTCATCTCATATTGTAGTCTTTCCTACTTGGTGATCATTGCTTTAGTATGAACGACCTTCCTACCTAATGCATCAGCTACAACATTGGCTTTGCCTAAATAGTATAGAATCTCTATATCATAATATTTTTACCAGTTCCTACCATCGCCTCTGTCTCATATTGAGCTCCTTCTGTGTGAACAAGTACTTGAGGCTCTTGTGATCAGTGAAGACTTGAACTTTTTCACCATATAGGTAATGCCGCCATGTTTTTAGAGCAAACGCTGGCACTGCTAACTCGAGGTCATAAGTGGGGTAGTTTCGTTCATATTCCTTCAATTGCCTAGAAGCATACGTTATCACCTTACCCTTCTGCATGAGCGCATGCCCTAAACCTTTCCTAATGCGTCCCTATACACCACGAGGTTGCCTAACCTACCTAGAACTATGAGAACTATTGTTGTCACCAACCTCTCCTTGAGTTTCTGGAAACTCTGTTCGTAAGTTGGAGTCCAAGCAAATGGCTTGCCCTTCTTTGTTAACCGAGTTAGCACCGAAGATATTGTTGAGGTAGCAAATTTCTATTAATTAGTTAGTGTTAAGGTAGCAAATTTCTGTTAGTTAGTTTTCTTGTTCTTAGTTGAGTTTGTCAGTTAGTTTTCTTGTTATTAGTTTTCAAGTATTTATTTCTATAAAAGGCATTGGACCCATGAATAAGAGAGATGATCATTTTTTGTACATTTGCCAAGTCTCTGAAATTTACCGCTAACATTTGGTATCAGAGATGGTTAGGATCCAAGAAAGTGATCCGAGAAAGAAATTGAGTAGCGACAAAACACTCACCAAGATTCCATAATTTGATGGTCATTATGACCATTGGAGTGAACTAATGGAAAACCTCTTGCGTGCCAAGGGTTTGTGAGTCTAGTGGAAGAGGGTTACACCGAACCGGCAGAGGGAATCGAAGTGACTGCAGCACAGAAAAAAAATCTTGATGAGTTCAAGATGAAGGATCATCAAGTGGAAGCACTACCTATTCCAAGCAATTGATAGGGTTGTGTTTCAACAGATCTTGAATCGCAAAACATCCAAGAACATTTGGGATTCGATGAAGAAAAAGTTTGGAGGCAACGAAAGAGTGAAGTGGTCCCTTCTCCAAACTTTAAGAAGAGATTTTGAGGTTCTTGAAATGAAGAACGAAGAGAACATCGATGATTATTTAGGAAGAGTAATGGCTGTCTCCAATAAGATGAGAAGCAACGGAGAAGATATGTCAGATTCGAAGATTGTTGAGAAAATACTTCGAACTCTGACTGACAAATTCAAATATGTGGTGGTAGCCATCGAAGAGTCAAAAGACACAAGAAAGATGATGATTGATGATCTGCAAAGATCTCTGTCTGTACATGAAAAGAAATTCAAGAAGATCAGTCATGAAGAAGGTGATCAAGCTCTCAATCTCAGAGGCTGAGGATGTTAGATAAAAGCCTGAGGTTTTCTTATTTAGCTTTACACGTTTTAGTTAGTTGATTACCAACTTTTTAGGTGGCCATTTTGAAGGAAGTGGCACACATTTAGTTGGTCATTCTCGGGCCATTTTTAGGATAAGTTAATTATTTAAATAGGTGAATCTGTTGAGAAAGAAAACATCACTCTTTTTAAGCAAAGTCAAATTGCAATTCTCTCTCTATTAAGTGTTTTTATTTTCTTCCAACAACTTTCTTCTCTCTTCCCGTCAAACGATTTCCATCGGTGGTATATCATTGAGGAGCCAACTTTATCAACAGTCAAGTTGAATAGCTCAAGTGGTTAGAATGTCGACTTAACAACACACAGGTCTCAGGTTCAAGTAGAAGAAAATGCAAAGCGCAAAAATACACACATCATATAGGGTCCATCCCGGGCAGGCTTACTCACTCCTCCATGCCACCGGGAACACGTAAGGGTTATGTGGCTCATTGTTGAGCCAGAGGAAAAGTTGTAACGTTCAAGTATCCAGGAGACCGACATCAAGTAGCTACGAAAGGAGCTCTCAGAGATCCGCTTTAAGGACACAGCGACCTACTGGTGGAAGAGGTGTGAACTGAAGATTGACGTAACGTCGAGCAGCGGGAATAAAAATACCGCTTCAACTGTCGACAAGGAGGGTTGTCTACTCCTCACTAAGGATGGGGAATGGCTTGCACGCATAAAGCTCTGCGACAACGCCGACGAGAGCAATGGGCCCTCCAACCACATGGGCAACAAATCATATGGTCGACGACGGCTGCTCACGCAAGATCGGCACACGACAGACTCTCGGCCAAGACAGAAGAGCTATCTTGGGGGCGGCACATAAGGTACAGGCACTTAAACTTTCCTAGTGCACGGTTTGCCGGCAATCAAATGCGTGAAAAAGTTATGCGATGGGTGCCTTATCTACAAAAAGTTTCGGTAAGCATCATTGCAACGTGTTCGGCATACAATGGCACCTAACGGTGCCCTACTCCCCCTAACAGAACAGAGCGGTGGAGCGCCAAGATCAAACCATCGTCGAGATAGCAAGGTCTTTGCTGATCACGGCCGGGATGCCTGGGGGATTCGGGAGAGAGGCGGTAATGATGGTAGTCTACCTCCTTAATCGTTCGCCAATATGAAGCCTCGACGGAAAGACACCACACGAGGCCTGGTACAATAAGAAGCCAGCGGGACACCATCTCCGAGTGTTCGGCTGCCTTGCATATATGAAGGTTGAAAATCGTCTTCATTGGCTACGAACCCGAGAGCAAGGCATACAGACTCTATGATCTTACGGGGGGGCAAGCTCATGTGTCTCGTGACGTCATCTTCGACGAAAGCACCTTCTGGCAGTGGAACGACGTGATCGAGATAGACCACAACCCAAATCAATTCATGGTGGAGTACCTCGTCACTTAGCCGTAAGAAGGAGATCCCAGCATCAGGAACCGTCACCGCCGCCAGCAACTGCACCCCTTGAACCAGTAGAGTTCGCAACACAACGGACAACGACGTGATCGAGATAGACCACAACCCAAATCAATTCATGGTGGAGTACCTCGTCACTTAGCCGTAAGAAGGAGATCCCAGCATCAGGAACCGTCACCGCCGCCAGCAACTGCACCCCTTGAACCAGTAGAGTTCGCAACACAACGGACAACGACGTGATCGAGATAGACCACAACCCAAATCAATTCATGGTGGAGTACCTCGTCACTTAGCCGTAACGACGTGATCGAGATAGACCACAACCCAAATCAATTCATGGTGGAGTACCTCGTCACTTAGCCGTAAGAAGGAGATCCCAGCATCAGGAAACCCAAATCAATTCATGGTGGAGTACCTCGTCACTTAGCCGTAAGAAGGAGATCCCAGCATCAGGAACCGTCACCGCCGCCAGCAACTGCACCCCTTGAACCAGTAGAGTTCGCAACACAACGGACTGTAGATTTGACGCTGGATACATTTCATAATGATGATCTGGTGGCCAGGTATCAGAGGATGGAAGACCTAGTCGGAGGAGGTGAACCACCTGGACTGGCGCCGCACAAACTCGAACAAGAGGTGGCCGAACTACATGCCATTAGTGCAAATGAACCGAACACCTTCACCGAAGCAGAAAGAAACCCGTGCTGGCTAAAGGCAATGCAGGAGAAGATGACATCCATCACCGAGAACCAGACGTGGAGTCTGGAGGATATGCCGCCGGGACTCCGAGCCATAGGGGGCTCAAATGGATCTTCAAACTGAAGCACGACGAAAAGGGAGAAGTTGTGAAGCACAAGGCCCGTCTAGTGGCGAAGGGCTACGTCTAGAAGCAAGGTGTGGACTTCGAAGAGGTAATTGCGCCGGTGGCAAGGTTAGAAATCCGTCCGTCTTTTGCTGACAATCGCGACACATTGCTCTTGGGAGGTCCACCATATGGACGTGAAGTCTGCTTTCCTTAACGGAGAGCTGAAGAAGACCGTCTACGTCTGACAACCACCTGGCTTCCTGGACAATGACAACCCCGGTAAGGTACTACGCCTGCACAAGGCACTCTATGGGCTTCGGCAAGCACCACGAGCCTGGAACGCGAAGCTCGACAATACCCAACTGTCACTGAAGTTCAAGCACTGTGCCTCTGAGCATGACATGTACACGCACGACCACGACAAGCAGCGACTGATTGTGGAAGTGTACGTCGACGACCTCATAATCACTGGTGGCGACATGGAAGTCCTTGGAAGATTCAAGAGGGAGATGTCAAAGAACTTCAAGATGAGCGATCTAGGCGTACTCAGCTACTACCTCGGCATCGAAGTACAACAGAGTACTGCCGGCATCACCATCTATCAAAGTGCGTACGCAAAGAAGCCGTTAATTACTGCTGGGCTAGTAGACAGTAACCCTACAAGGACGCCAATGGAGGCTCGACTCCAACTGAGGAAGGCCGACATTACGACGACAGTCAACTTCACCAATTACTGCAGCATTGTCGAGAGTCTACGCTATCTGGTAAACATTCGCTCTGATCTTGCTTATTCCGTTGGATACGTGAGTAGGTTTATGGAAGCACCTAGGGAGGAGCATCTAGTGGCTGTCAAGCACATCCTGCGCTATGTAGCCGGAACCAGAGACTGGGGTGTAAGATACTACGCAGGGAGAGGAAAGGAGAAGCTTAAGCTAGTCGGCTACAGTGATAGTGACATGACCGGTGACGTTGATGATCATAAGAGCACCAGCGGGATGATTTACTTTCTCTCAGGCGGCGCGATCTGCTGGTAATCAACTAAGCAAAAGGTAGCTGCTTTATCTTCTTGTAAAGTAGAGTACATTGCCACTTCGACGACAGCAACACAGGGGGTCTGGCTTGCGCGACTGATGGAAGCAAGCACATAGAGATTAGGTTCCATTACATTCGGGAGTGCAGATCGGGGACTTATCAAGATTGACTTCATTCGAACCGAGGAATAGCTTGGAGACATCTTCACCAAGTCTCTGGCACGGGTAAAATTTGAGAAACTTCGTTCAAAGATCGGAGTTTAAATTATAAGGTAGGTATACCATAGGTTTTAGAAGGAGATTGTTAGATAAAATCCTGAGGTTTCCTTATTTAGCTTTACACGTTTTAATTAGTTGATTGAATATCTTCCTTTGACCATTTGACAAACACGTCGAATGGATTACCAACTTTTTTGGTGGCCATTTTGAAGGAAGTGGCACAAATTTAGTTGGTCACTCTCGAGCCATTTTTTAGGATAAGTTAAATATTTAAATAGGTGAATCTGTTGAGAAAGAAAACATCACCTATTTTAAGTAAAGTCAAATTGCAATTCTCTCTCTCTCTATTAAGCATTTTTATTTTCGTCCAACAACTTCTTTTTTTCCGTCAAACGATTTCCTCTCACACCAATTGTGGAAAGGGATTTCCCTTGCCGATTGTCAAAAAACAACAGAGGATCATACAGAGTCGAGGCAGGGGTAGAGGATGCTCATTCAACAAAGCAACAATCGAGTGTTACAACTGCCACCAACAAACTCATGTGTGATTCGTGGATTCTGGGTGTTCAAACCATATGTGTGGAGAAAGAGGTATGTTCTCAAGCTTGGACACTAGCTTCACACATAATGTCAAGTTTGGGAACAATCACAAACTGATGGTTGGTCGGAAAGGAGCAGTGAAAACAATACTTAAGGGAATAAGCTGTGATCAACGATGTGTATTATATTCCGGAACTGAAGAACAACCTGCTTAGTGTTGGAGAACTTCAAGAAAGGGGTTTAGACGTGCTATTCAAAGGAGGAGATCGAAACACATGCAACATTTTTCATCCCCCAAAAGGAAAAATAGCAGAATCTGTTATGAGTGCTAATAAGATGTTTATCCTGTTGGGTGAATCAAATAACAAAACAAAGGAGGAGATGTCTACAGGTTGATATCTTAGCCAAGGCAGAGCTGTGGCACCATCGATATGGGCATCTCAGCTACAAGGGACTTCACACATTATGCAGTAAAGAGATGGTTGTGGGTTTACTTGAAATTGGAGATATGAAAACCATCTGTGAGGCATGTGTCAAAGGGAAACACCATCGTGCTCCATGTCCGAAGCAGAGCAAGTGGAGAGCCACTGAAAGATTACAGCTTATCCACTCTAATCTCTGTGGTTCGATCAACCCACCATCAACCAGTCAAATAAAGTACTTTATAAGCTTTATTGATGATTTCTCGAGAAAAACATGGATATATTTTGTGCTAGAAAAATCAGAAGCATTTCATCAGTTCAAGACATTCAAAGCGTTTGTAGAAAAACAAACTGAATTGTTCATCAAATGTCTAAAAACAAATAGAGGAGGAGATTACAATTCAATTCCATTCAAAGAATTCTGTAAAGCGCATGGAATCAAAAGACAGTTGACCACCGCCTTCACGCCTCAGCAAAATGGCGTTGCTGAACGTAAAAATCGTACAATCATGAACATGGTTAGAGCAGT